GGCGAGGACGCGGGCGCGGGGCCGAAGCCGGCGGCGGCGGCGGCGGCGGCGGTAGCGGCGCCGGGCGGGGGCGGCGGCGGCGGCGATTGCACAAATGGAGTGGCCGGGGAGGCGGGGGTGGCCGGCCGGGATGCCGACGAGGCGGCTGCAATGGACATGGATGATGTGTACGCGGCCGCTGACGCAGAGGCGCTGCGCGGCAAGGGTCTGGGTGCGACCGTTGTGGCGGCGGCGGCGGTGGTTGCGGAGGAACCGAGGGAGTCGCCAGCAGCGGCCGCACAGCAGGAGCAGCAGCAGCAGCAGCAGCAGCAGCGGCGGCGGCGGCAGCAGCAGCAGCAGCAGGAGGCAGAGGGACGGGAGGGGCAGGTGCCACAGGGCGAGGCGCCGCCGCGGGAAGCAGCGGCGGCGGCTGAGGAGGGTGAGGAGGGCGAGGAGGCGGCAGGCCCGGGCGATGCTGACGAGGCGCAGCAGCAGCAGCAACAGCAGCGGCACACGTACGCGGCGTCTGCGGAGCTGGTTCAGCGGTTGGTGCAGCCAGGTACGAATCTGGGGATCGGGGCAGTGCCGCCTGCGCAGCCGCTTCATTACGGCTGGTGGAAAGGGTTTTGGCGGAAAGGGTTTTGGCAAGCCCTCTGCGAGTCTCTACTCAGCTGCCCATTCCCTGGGCATGCCACACATACCCCCCCTGTCGGCCCCATTCGGCCCCGCCCTGCGGCTCACCGGTCACCCCTCCCCGCCGCCAAAAAGCAGCGAGTCCATTGGCTCAATCCTTCCCAACCAAACGCCCTGTCAGGTTTCACGAGCTGCATCCTGGCCTCCCCCAAGCTGCACACCGCGTCGCTGCTGCGCCAAGTCCTGCCGCTGCTGGCGCCGTCCGCCGCCTTTGTGGTGTACTCGCCGTGGCAGCAGCCGCTGGCGGAGGCGATGCAGGAGCTGCAGGGCAGCGGGCTGGCGGTGATGCTGCAGCTGTCGGAGAGCTGGATGCGGCAATACCAGGTGGGCGGCACATATATCATTGCCGCACTTACATATCATCAAGCGGCATCAGTTGGCAGATCACGAGGACAGGGGAGACGATGTTGCCAATTTCATAATTGGAAAGCGGTGCTGTATGAAGAAGCTGCTCGTAACCATGGTTGCCAGGGGACGCCGTAATTGACATCCGCTTGGTCGTTGCTGGTCCCCCCCGCAGGTGCTGCCCGGCCGCACCCACCCCAACATGAGCATGCACGGCACCGGTGGCTACCTGCTCTCGGGGATCAAAGTGATCCCGTCGGACGACCCGGCCGCCACCGGCGGCGCCGGGGAAGGCGACGGCGGGCGCGGCGGCGGCAGGGGCGGGCGCGGCGGCAGGGGCGGGGGGCGCGGGCGGCCGCCCAAGCGGCAGCGCAGGTGAACGTGGCGCATGGAGCTTGTAACGGTCGTTTCGCGCTGGAATTGTGCGCTCGCAAGTCCTCTGTTGGGCCGAGGGCTGGTAATGCAGGGTGCGTACATGTCATCATGCCAGTGTGCGAGAGCGACCAAGCTATCATTGACGCCAGCGGTCAAGCAATCGTGGGTTGCAGAGGGCCTGAAGGGACAGTACCACATTATGGTCATTGATCACATATAAGATGTCATGTTGACTATCTCATCCCGCTTGCTGATAGCCCGATTCGCTCAATTGAACCGTTCTTGGCTGAAGAGCACCGGCTTGTCGCCGATAAGTGTGCACTGGTTACATTTGACACATATAAATCGTCCTTGCTTGGCCGCAAGCGAACACAGTTGAAACGCTGAGCACAGCGGCGCCGGACGGTTGAGCAACCGCACACTCGCAGCGGAGCGCCTGCCGTTGCGCACACAACCAGCGATGGCGCAGCAGTCGGAGCTGCAAGATGCGGAGACCATCCATGTCATTATAACAGGCTTTGGACCTTTCGACAAAGTCACTAGCAACCCCACAGAGCGATTGGTCACCTGGCTGCGACAACAGACCGACCCTGCCTCTGCCCCCGACGCATCAGTAGCCACTGCCACGGCCACGCCGCTGCGGCGCCTGCGCCACGCGCGCATCGCCAGCTGCACAGTGCTGACCGTTTCGGCGCGCGCCGTGACCGAGTACCTGGGGCAGCAGCTGGATGAGCTGCTGCGGCGCGGCGAGGCGGCGCGCGCGGCACGCGCGGCGGCGGGGGGCGGCGGGCGCGTCCGCGGTGCGCCGGTTGTGCTGCTGCTGCACTTTGGGGTGGACATCAAGGTGTGCTGCGAGTACGTGTACGTGTGTGCGCGCACGTGCGCGCGCGTGTGTATGTATGCGTGTGTGCGTGCGTAAGCGTGCATGTGTGTTGACAACTCGCCGTGTGGCACTGCCAGGGCTGTGCTACGCCAGGCGTGCGCAAGGCATATTGATGAGGGCCACGCATTGGTGCGGAAACTGCAGCCCCAATGCCCGTCCTTGTGGGCTGCGGCGCACATACCAAATCCGATCCTCCTCCCCCTCCTGGCCCACCTGGGTCCCGACCGTGCCCGCCGCCAGCGCCCCACGTTCAACATGGAGTCGCGCGCCGTCAACAACGCCACCTTCCGATGCCCCGATGCCGACGGCTGGCAGCCCAACAACCGCCCCATCACCTCGCTCGTCGCCGCGCCCCCGGCCGGGACCGGCGACGCCCCCGCGGCGGCGGCCCCGCCTGCGCCCGGCGGCGGCGGCGGCGACGGCGCTGGCGATGGCGACGGCGCAGCGGCGTGCGGCTTGGACGGCGCGGTGGTGTCGGACCTCGATCTGCCACGCCTCTGCGAGCGCCTGCGGGGGCAGGGCCACAATGTGCTGCTTTCTGAGGACGCGGGGCGCTTTGTATGCAACTGGACCTACTACAACAGCCTCTCCCTCTGCCAAGCCCTCTCGGGGCGGACGCCGGCCTTGGCTGCGGCTGCGGCGGG